TTGAATATTCAACGGAGACGATTGTAATATTGTAGCTATGTAAGCCTCCTTACGTTGTACAGTATTATATAAACTGGGATACTGAAGAGCTAGAGGCAAATCTCCTAGCCAGGTATCCTCCCAGAATCTGGTAGTTGTAACGTCTCCGAGGACAAATTTCACTCTACGGAAAAAAGAGTCTTTCGTTCTTGTTAACCCTTTCCAAAACCGCGAGTCTGAAGGCCTTACGGTGACCTGAGCTACGAATTTAGTCTGAAGATATTTGTTACGAAGAATCTGTGCCCACTTGCCATCAGATTTGTAGATAGCCTATATAGCCATTTGCTAAGCATGCATTTGTTTTTAATTTCCAAATTCTCAAACCCTAACCCTCCTTGGTCTTTGGGCCCGCAAATGATGTCCCACCTAGATAATCTATATTTCGTCTTAGCCTCATCACTTTGACAGAAGAAACGGGATCGATAAAAATCTAACCTTTTGCGTACCCGTACAGACACTTCGAAGAAAGATAGAAGGAACATAGGCATACTAGTTAATACCAAATTTATTAACACGAGAGGACCTCCATAAGACAAAAGCTTGCCCTTCCATTGCTGTTGAGGAGTACTCCTAAAAATGAGGCTGTTGTTTCCCATGCGCCTGGGCCACCCGAACTCGTGGCACATTTCAGCGAGGGTTCCCTCGAAATCACTAGTTGAGGAGTACTCCTTCCAAAGATCACTGCCACCTCCCCAAGTTGCGGTAAGTGCCGCACTGCATGTGCGCCACTTGTCGCAACATGGCAGTTTTCCTTTTTTTCGTACATCAGTTTATTCAAAATATTTTATTTCTTAAACCATGCGTCCAAATCTCGAAATATATTCACCATTGGATTCCTCGCATCGAGTTCTTCAAAACTAGATACCATGTTGATAGGTTATGGCGCACTTAAAAAAAACGAATGAATAAACCGAACCTGGAACACTTTTTTTCCTTTTTGAAAGTCGTTTCTGAGTGGCACGGCCATGCCTCTTGTCGAAGCAAATCTTTGCATCTCCGAAAGTATAAAAAAGAGAAAACACATTTTTTTCCATTTTTGAGAGGCACGGCCGTGCCTCTCACGCAAGCAAAACCATGCATCTCGGGGAAGCAAAAAAAACGCTTTCTTTTGCACAACATTTTTTTGTTGAAAAGCTAAGAAAGACTGGTGAAATTCCGAAAAACTGAAAAAACAATCTGAAAAGCTAAAAACACCTCCAGGAAAATAAAAAAAATATTATCCAAAGAGAACGTCCAGAGTATGACACGTGGCGGTGGTTGAGAGCGCGCCAAGTGGCATGCTCTCAGCCCACCCGAAGTGATTGTTTGAGGCTCCCAAAGAAGGGCTCCTCAATTTGTTCACTATGACTAGCCTTAACCTCTCGGGCCGAGCTGGAGGTACCTTCTATGCGCGCCCAAATGCCTGATCGGCCCGACCAGTACACATTTAAATTCTTGTTCGTCATTTTTTTCAAATGCTTAATTAACATTTTTTGATGCACATTTAGAAAATTTCAAAAAATTGTTCAATTCTTTTCAAATTATTGATTAACCTTTTTCAAATACATGATATAATTATTTCATACACATTTTATTTTTTATATATTTTTCATATACGTGGTAAATAATTTCTGTATACACATTTAGCATTTTTCAAATGTTTTGTCAACATTTTTCAAATGTTTTATGGGGAGTGATTTTTGCAATACATTTATTTAGAATATTTGAAAAGTATAAACAAAAGTAAAAGAAAAAAAGAAAACAGAAAACGTGAAAAAAAACAGCAAACGAGGCCGTTATTTCCCGCGCGTCTCGGCTGAATGCGAGAATACTCGGGAAAGCTGGAGCGACCAACTAGCCGAGCCCAAAAGCCCGATCGGCCCGACCAGCCTGCTGGATCTTGTTCGCCGGACGCACATTGCTTATCAAATGAGCCATATAATCTGTTTATTTAAAGGCAGCTCACAAATTGGCCTGCGGTTCGTGTTGATCCTGAAATTGGGTCCATTGTCAGATATGATTGCCGTTCTTTGCGGTACAAGTTGCCAGATGTACCGTACAACTATCTGGGCTTGAACAGCGCCACTTCTCACTGAACACCACAGCTATTGCTTTCTTCCGAATGGGAATTCCCTTGAACTTTGCATTAGTTGACTTCTACCGTCGATCAATACTTTGCGCCCGAGGAGATCTCTATAAACCGTTGTACTCCCTCCGTAAACTAATATAAGAGCATTTAGAATACTAAAATAATAATCTAAACGCTTTTATATTAGTTTACAGAGGGAGTACTTATTTACAGTACGTGTTTAGTTCTGTATTGACAAGTAAATGAGACAGCAGGGTCTGAAGAAAGCACTGGATGGTGGAGCAAACAATGGTCAAGAAGATGTAGAGGGCAGAAGGGCTTTATTCGAGTAAATTGCACAAAACCACCACTTTGAAAACAAGATTTGCAAAAACCACTACAATACATTTTATTTTTGCAGAAAACACCGTGTCTTCGGTAATCTTTTTGCATAAAACACTGATCGGCGGATCGGGCTCAGATAAGTGAGTTTATGACAAAAGAGACCCGTCAGTCAGGCTGATGTGACACCGCTTAACAATTCACATGTAACCGCAACGCCTGATAACGTTATCACCCCTATGTGGGTCCACCTGTCATTGGAAGAAAAAAGAAAAAAAATGGGTTCATCTTATCTTCCCGCAGACTTCGCACAGCCGCGGTCCACCATCGTTGTTGCCTCACACAGGCTCGCCCCTGCCGTTGCCTCGCCAAGGCCCGCCGCCGCCGTTGCCTCGCCCAGGCCAGCCGCCGCCGTGTCTACATCCCACTAGGCTGGAGCGCCGCCGTGGTCTG